AGATAGATAGATAGATAGATAGATAGATAATGGATGGATGGATGGATAGAGAGATAGATAGATAGATAGATAGATAGATAGATAGATAGATAGATAGATAGGCAGACAGATAATAGATGATGGATGGATGGACGGACGGACGGACGGACATAAAAATGAAGCCTTCTCAATGGTCCCCATCATACAGGCTTGGCCCAGGTGGTGCCTTTCACTCACTTTCTGACTCCTCCGTGGCCAGGATGCTGCGCCTGGAACCATCATGGCCCAAAGCCTCGGAAGAACCTCTGAGGCTGACTCCGCCAAGCAGGGAAGAAAGCGGATTGAAGGAGAGACAGAGGAAGACGAACGTGCAGAGAGCCATGCGGGACCTGTCCAGCATTCCCAGGCTGCCCGATGGAGGGCCCTGATATTCGGGTTTCACCTACAAAGAACAGGTAAGTTGGAGAACCAGAGCCTCTTTCTGGGTTGAAAAGAGGGCAGGTCCAACGACCACTTGGGTGAAAATCCTGGTCAAACTCTAGTCAGTCTTGGGTCGTTTGGAGGAAAAAAATAAAGCACCCCTCCCCCCCCTTGAATCTCTTTCGGGGCTGTTGATCACTCAGATCAGCAGATGTTCGCCGTGGTCTTCAAGCCAACCCAATGCCCCAGGTTCTCCCGGAGTCTTTGCTCACCTTGGCCTCCTCGCACGAAGGGCTGTCTGGCTCCGAATCGGTTCCACTGACGCCTCCGAAGGAGAGCGGGCTGCTGTGCGAAGGGGAACCGGCATCTGAGGGTGGGGGCGTCAAAGCTTCCATCATCTTCATTCCCTCTGCCGGATCCTCCATGTTTCCGCCACATACGGCCACCAAATCTTTCAGCGATTCTGTAGAAGGAGAGCGCGGAGCGATGGTAGAACCAAGATGAGCTTCTCACATCGTGGAATATCTAAACATTCTGGGACTAACTGGGTTTTCTTGAGGAAGGCCGAAGCGGTTGGATTATCTACAAGGCCAGCAATCATCTAATAGAACCACCCTGTGGGTTCAGCTAACGGTCATTCCAAAAATTAAAGGAACTATATTCATTCTCAGCAGAAATCAGGCCAACATCCGTCCTTACTGCCACGAGGAGGGAGTTGACAGGAAAAAGTGTCTGAGAGGAGATGAATTTAGGCAGGAACATCAGGGTTTTTTTTCCCAACAGGATCCAGCTGTTTCTGCTGATCACTAGACAATGTTGACCTTGGCTTCTTGGAAGATGGTAAAAATCCACACAAGATCTCTGCTCTCCACCTGGGTCTCCGAAGGGGACCTTGAGCCCAAGCAACTTGTCGATTAATCTGCCGGCCTGGTCTTGACCCCCCCTCCCTCCTGATCTCCGGGGTCTCAAACCTACAAGGGGGAAAGGGGGAGGACGGTGCGCGTGCATGAAACTCACTGTTCTTCTGCGCTGCCATTTTAAGGGCCATGTTCTCCCCCTTCAGCTTCTGGTTGGTCTGCTTCAGGTAGCGGATATAGTCGATGGCTTTGCGTAGGATGGCCGACTTGTTCAGCTGCCAACGGAGAGAAAGGGACAGGCCGGGATTATGGGAGTCCAGCCCAAAGCATCTTCTTGCTACGTGAACTGAATTCGCCCCAAGCTGTTTGGGATATCCCTGGCCTAACCCCCCGCCTCCTACTTGGGTCCCCTCAACTCAAGTCCCCATCACGGTCCTCAGGAGAAGGATTCGGGTACTTTCTACGGTTCCTACATTAACGATGAAGAACAAACCAAGATAAGAAGCCAACAGGGGGGCCAAAAACACAATCGAGGCCAAAACGGGCTTCCCAAACCAGAAACACCCAAGCATATACCGTGACTTTCCTCCCACATCAAAGAAAGAGACATCTACCTTTCTGCAGGTGAAAACTCCCTGACAGCTAAGGTAGGAGAGAGTTCTCCAAGGAAGGACTCCGTGCTCTTGCTCCCCCAGGACACCCACCCAATGGAAACAGGTGCGGCTACCTTGGCTTCTGTGCCCACGACCAGGACCTTCAGCTCAGATATCTTGTCATTGATGGAGGAACGGTAGCGTTTCTCAATAGCATTGTGAGCGGTGCGCTTCTCGCCCTTGTTCTGGGTGACCACAGGCTTCCCAGCGGTCAGGCGGTTGATGGGCAGCTTGTCAGTGTCCACCATCAGTGGCACTGTCGCCAGGATGGTGCCCCCGCTCACCAGGGTCTGCAAGAGAGGGGAAGAGGGGATCTGCAGAGAACTCGAAGGCTTCCCCACGAGGAGAGACTGAACTAAGAATGATGTGGTCTCTGCCAGCTGAGGAGAAAGCTAAGGACGAAGGACATTCCACATGTTATTAGCATAATGTATGCATCAACCCATTTCATTCATCAGCTTTCATGCATCGTGGCTCATTCTTATCAGTGGAGGAAGCGAAGTTTTATGGGAGCAGCTGGACAAAATTCTGCTTTTTTCCCCCCCATCCCACCTCAGCACCCTCTCAATATCACCACCTTCTATTGTGGGACCCCAAAATAAGCGGCTACCAAGGAATCAGGTGAAGTCATCTGGGATATGCGGAGGGGAGAGAGAATTCCCAACCCAAAGTTTGAGGATTTTTTTTTTTTTTAAGTAGAAATGGGTCGAAAGAGCCAGGGGAACCAAGACTGGGAGAAATAGGACCTTACTGGCATCTGCAAGGCTGTGGAGGTGACCACGGAGCTGGTGTTGGGCGTTTTGGCTCCGGAGACGGTGGTCAGAAGGAGGGAGTCGGCCTTGATGAAGTGGGGCTGCAGAAGGACCTGTGGGAAGATGGCGTGAAGTCAGGACCAAGCCCGGACCAGGGAAGAGGGTGGTCCTATCTCCTGAGTCCCACTCACCGGCACTTGCTGGACCACCTGGGGGCTGCTGGCAGCCAGAAGCTGTTGGGGAGCGATGTTCTGGAATGGCGTTGGTTTCAGAGAAGGCTGCATCTGCTGGGGCTTGGTGGAGGCCGGTGGGGGCTGCTGGGGTGTCCCTCCTGGCTGGGGAGCTGGGAAAGAAACCCCCAAAGATTGGAGATGCCTTCTACAGCAGCTGGACAGACCCCTGGGCCAAGCCCGCCCACCCACCCACAGAAGCCTGGCACACACAGGTAGAGCTGGCCTTGGAGGTGCCTTCAAGAACCCCGATGACACACAACAAGCAAATGGAATGATGGGCGGTGTGATCCAACACTTCTGGAGGCTCTCCAGATATCGAGGCAAAGCTCTCAGGGCCAATCTGTCCAACCCTGAGACCTTGGAAGCACCGTCCACAAGCCCCTGTGAGTCTAAGTCTTTCCTGAAAGATGGACAACCTGACATGGTCTGAAAACCTTGAGTGGGATGGTGTGATTTTTCAGACCCACCTCCAGCAACTCATCCCTCCTGGGGCATCCTTTTTTTTTTTTTTTCAGCCAAACCTTGTGGTCCTCCTGTCTTTGGGAACCACTGTGCTGTTGTGTTCATAGGCAGTGCAAAGTTTCACTCTGCTTGCTCAGGGATGAAAGGAAGGACCAGTCCAGAAGACTCCAAGAAGGTCCATTGGGAAGCTCAAACAAGGCTCATATTACAAAATCAAGCTCTCTTCCCCTCCTTACCAGAAATACTATTTTGGGTCTGGAAATCCATCAAGGGCTGGGTGGAGAAAGGCATCTGGGCAGCTGGAACAATATTTGGAGAAGGTATCATGCCGGCGGGCAGCTGGCTTTGAGGTGGGCTTAGCGTTGGGCCCAAGGATTCTTCTTTGACATCCACTGGAGATGGAGGCATGTTCAGGCAAGCGGTGGGCAGGGTCTGGAAGCTGGGTGGAGATGTGGTTGGAAGGTGGAACAAGCTAGTGGGAGAGGGGGCTTTTGCCCCCCCATAACTGCTGAAGATACTGGGTCCATGGGGGTTCAGATCGGGAGGAAGCTGGGAACCGAAAGATGTGTCCACCAGATCAGAGAAGTCGTTGTCTTCGGTGGTGATCAATTGGAGCATATCTACAAAGCCCAGAGAAGAATGAGAATCGTGATTGGCCCCTGGAGGATTACAGCCGAAGACTATTTCAAAGGGCTAAAGAAGCCGCGGACTTGGGAAGGCTTGCAGGGCTGAAGAACGTGTGGGATTTAGAGCGGGGGTCTCCAAACTTAGCCACTTTAACAGTTGTGGACTTCAACTCCCAGAAGAGAAGCGAGAGCGTGTGTAAAAAAGGAAAAAACAGCACTGCCTGATACTATGAATGCATTTGAGCCAGGGTTTGTGGAATTCCCACCTTCTAATCCTGATCGAATTCCTAGAAGCTGCATGGGGATCACAACTCTCTGCAGGAGATGGGCAGTTAAGAAATGCGAAATATAAATAACTAGACTGGCACCCAGAAGGAGTGTAAAATGCCTTCATTCATCAACCAGAAGGAAAACAGAAAAGGGCTCGACTCAGGTATTCAGGAGTGAGGAGGATCTGGGTCAGAAGACGGAGGCTTGCAAAGGTAGGACCTCGTGGAGAATGAACATGGGTCCTTCTAGGCTGTGGCTTCTCCAAGCCAGGACTGTCCCCTACATCCTTATTTTCAGCCAGGGAGGTGGGGAAAGGCGAGGACCAGTTCAGATGACTCCACAAAGATCCATTGGGAAGGTTGAACCACTTACTCTCTGTGCATCTTCATGGAAACCAGTCGGGAACCCTAATCTTGGTGCTACTAAGCCTGAGTTCTAATTCCAGGATCCAAAGTCCTGGTATTAACAGCTTCCGGTCACTCCCATCTCCCGAGAATCACAACTCGGGCCTGCAAAGGCTGCCCTGCTCCGCTTTGGGTAAACAGACTTCCTATTTTGGCTGCCTCCGACAGTCTGACTTTAAATTCAATGAATTCAGCTGTTCTTGTCTCATTTTCTGGCCCGGGAAAGGGAGGGGCAGGCTTCCCTGCATGTTATAGTCCTTCTAAAAGGAGCATTCAATTGTGTTCTAAATTCTTGGCGCTTGAAACATCTGTTGGGTCTGACCGAGAAACCTTTGCCCCGTTATTCATAAAAGCTAGCTAAAAGAAAATAGTGTGTCTTCTTTCCTCTCCAGCAAACAAACAAACAAAAATTGACCAATTACCATTTCAAATTATGGCGGTTTGGAATCCTGCGGGCAGAAAAAAAACACGGGTTGCTCTGGGCTAGGGTTGCGGGTACCAAAGTCATCGCTACTGCAACCCCGAGTGGCCCTTTGCACCCCAATTCCTCCACCCGGCAGGAACGTTCTGACCATTACCGGAAAGGGCCGGTTGAGGGTCTTTTCCCCCCACCTGCCAACACCTGCTGATCCACCAGGGATGCAGGTGCACACCTGAGAGCCCCCCAAAGGAACTGAACTTGCAAGGAGAAGGAAAAAAAGAATAGGTCCCATTGCAAGAAGGCAAACCAGGCGCCTTCCGGAGGGACGTCCCTTAGGGCAGGTGCCGGGACCTTGCTTAGTCCTGGGGAAAAACAAAGGCTTGCAAACTCTGGTTGTGCACCTTTGTGGGAAACTCCAGGATCTGGGTTTGTTTGGCTGGTTTTTTTCCTTTCCTCGCTGGGCCCTCCTCCTCCTCCTCCTCTCACCCCCCCCACCCCCCCACCCCAACCACCACTAGCCTGCTGGAATGAGGGTTGCATGGTGAATCACAGATTTAGCATGAGGTGATCGGGCTGGGCCAATCAGGGCTGGGCCAGAGGAGCTGCTGCAATGCTGGAGCGTGTGGCACCCGGGTTACTGCCGTGCATCCGGCGTTAACTCTTTCCCTGCCTCTGGCGGCAGCAGGGGGTTACTCCAGGTCATTGCACGATTAACCCGTTCGGGACTGGAGGGTTGCAAAGGAGGAAGGAAGCCTGGCTTCTTTTCGGGTTCCTTTTTTCTGGGTTTGAAACATGCCTTGCACCTTAGCTGACACCCCAGGTGAAATGTTCCGGAGGCTACCTTGATTTTGAACTCATGAAAAGGTGGTACGAGGAAACTGAGGCTCTGAAAGAGCCTCTTGTCAATCTGGCACTGAGTGGGTGATGGTTGGGGAAAACAAACTACAACTTTCCTTGTGTTCTTAATAACATCGCCAGCAGGCAGAAACTGACCGGGGCCTGTTTGTGATTTCCCTCCTGCCCTGTTTGACGCTGCTTTCCATGCTCTGCAGCCGGTCTGATCAATGGCTGGGGGTTATGGGGAGGAAAGTCCTGCGCGAAGGTCTGGGGTGGATGCTTTCAGCAAAACTCCTTCATAAAAGTTTGCAAAAGCCATTGGCTTCTGAGTTGGCTTTGCTTGGAGGGACGCAGAATTCAAAGCCTTCCAGGGTGGTTGTTGGTAAACGGGATCTCTGGAGGTCATGCTACTATTAGGTGAGGGGTGTGGACAGTGAAAAAGCTGGAAACTAACAAATTGCCCGCTATCACTCCATGGTGTGGAGCACAAGACAGTCTAAAGCAGGAGTAAACTGTTGCATGCCAACTCAGCACCCGTCCTCTTACATCCTCAAAACCTCCTGGAAGATTCTGACCTCAACTTACCAGAACTTCAGACCAACCTGGTCGGCCTTTTTTCTGACTAACCAATGATCTTCAAAGGCACAAGTGTTTGTAAGCCACATTTAAGGCCAGTCCACGCAGCTAATAAAGCATGCTGGGGCTCACAAGCGCACCTGTGGCTCTGAAGAGCATCGGTTTGTCAGGAAAAGGGTGACCAGATTCCTCCTGGATTCTGGAGACCAAGTTGCGTCTCCTCCAACCAACTCATCTCCCACAATTGATCAGGTGACCCATCTAATTTTGGGAAGGATGGGAGTCTCAACACACCTAGAGGGCCACAGCTTTGGGGAGGAGTGACAGGTATCCCTGGAAAAAGACAGGAAGGAGGTGCCACATTTGGGACCATCTCCAGTGATGTTGAGAGGGTCAAAAGTGTCCCCTAAAACCCAAATGGATTTAAGGTGTGGATAAACACACCTGAGGTTACCTGTCTCCCAGAAGAAGGTTGAAAACTTTTCCAGAAGGACTTTGGGGGAGACACACTGCCATGAATTACAATGTTGGGTTTCTAATGTATTTCCGTATCTGTTCTTGGTATTTTTATGCTTTGTTCTTTCGAGCTATAGATAATTTATTTATGACTGCAAAGAGACCTATACCTGAGAAATAAGCAAACAAATAATTAACTGTCTCACAATGTGGCTTTTATGTATGTATGTGTGTGTGTGTGTATGTGTGTGTATATATATATATATGTGTGTGTGTGTGTTAAGTTTTTGCGGGTATTTATATGTATGGTATTCAGCTTTGTTCGGGTATTTTTCCACGTCATTATATATATATATATATATATATGATATTGGGATTTTTCTTGGAATAACTTAAAGAAGTTTTGGAAACTGCCTGAAGTCTTGGGAGGCAGGAAGTAGAGGAAGATGTGTAATAATAATCCAAAAAGGAGCAAATCCGACCTCAGACACCGCCAACACAATCACCCCGAAATAGAAAGTTTTGCCACCAAAAGGAAAGTGGTGAGACTCGGACAAGGTGGATACTTCGCTGGCTGGTCTTCAGCGACGGGTCCTGCTGTGGGGCACAGTCTACATTTCAACCACAAGCCAGCTCCCCATAATCTGACCCAGCAGCCCGTTAAGAGCAGTCACTGCTGAATTTTCAAAAATCCAATCGGATGCTTTTTTTTAAAAAAGGCACCTTAAATCTGTCCCTTTACTAGATCCTTTTTAGGACTCTAGTCATTTGAGCTTTAAAAATGTAGAGTTAGCTCAGGTTTGAAATTAAAATGGAACAACAGAGGAATTCTTGGGGGGTAAAAGTTAAAGGCCATTAAAGTGTACAAAGGAAGACTTTAGGGGTGTTGAGCCTTTTTAGAGGTGTAGCATCCTCCTCTTTTAATGACCCCATAATCCCTTGCGGGGTGGAGTCTTGGGCAACTGAATGGAGCTGAACGTTTACTGGCCGGATGCCCTTCCTGTTGCCAGTGCAGAGTTTTGTTCAGTAGCCATACCCTCAGTGTGCCCAGAGAGATGAATATCTGCTTCTCTCCCTAGGATCGAATTTCCCGGCCTCCTGATTGTGAGGCAAGAGCTCCACAACCTTTTAGAGGTCTATAGAAAAAGAAAACTGAAGAGAAGCTGAGAAAAACTCGCTAAAATTTCTTCTATAATGTCTCCCCAAATCCGATCGATCCCAGCCCTTCTCCAAACCCATCCTGCCCAACTCACGTGGATGGACAGGGATGATGGGCATGGACATTCTGATCCAAGACAAAGGAGACACCTACGCTACCAGGAAGCCCAAACACACGTGAGTCAACTCCTTTCTAAATTAGGTGTATTCCCCTCCTCCTCTCTCTCTCTCACGTCCAGGAGGTTTATATCGCACATGCTCCTTGTTTTTTTTCTTCTTCTCCAGAACAACAATCCTACCAGGTAGTCTGTGGTGGGCGAATGCACCTGGCCCAAAGCCACTCAGGCAGTTTCTCCAGTTGAGGGTGGACTCAAACCCAGGTTCCTTACCCTCAATGTTTAGCTGAATTCCTTTTTTTTTTTTTTTCCCTGTCTGGTTTTAGGCCGTCAACTCATTGGGGCAAAGATTTATCTGCTAGCTCTTGTAAAGCAGGACATCTTCTTGGTGGTTTGATAAGCGGAGCTGTTAATAGTGTTTCTCAACCAAGCAGCCTGAAGCTGCTGCCTGGGGAAATCTGGGAATTGAAGTCCACCCACCTTTTATTTGACTTTTTATTTTATTTGTCAAGCAAGTATTAGATAACAGGTATAAGTATAAAGATGGTTATGAATCCATGAAATGGACGCGAATAAAAAGAAACATTAGGACAGGGACGGTAGGCAGGTTGGTACGCTTACGCGTGCCAAAGGTTACGCGCATTGCCAAAGGTTGAGAAACCGTGCAGCAAGGAGTAAATGCCCAATTATAACACCATGCAACAATGGTGCTTGCCAGGTTGCCTGGCAGCGCTTCCAAATCGGTGCAGGCTTGGGAAGCCCCCTGCCCAGCTCCCCGCTTTCCCGAAGACCCCAAACCTTTTTTCCTCCCAGCGCCAATGACCGACAGTAACCCAACCCGTGACGTCAGGCCCTTCTACAGACACCCAGGAGGAAGAAGTGGGCAGGCCCTCGAGGGGGAGAAGCCAGCCCTGGCTCCCAGCCCAAGCTTCGGGGGATGGGGAGGGGGGGCAGCTGGGGGGGGGGGGGCTTTTTCCGGGCTGTTCTATCCCACCGGCTGGTCTGGCGTTCCGTGGGACCTTCTCTTCCCCACCGCCTCGGCACAGCGACCCAAAGGGATTGGGTGGTCCTGTGGAGAAGCGCATGGGGTCTTGGCATTCCCTCTGCAGCTCCACGCGAAGCTCAGGCTGCCCACGGTGCCCAGCCTGCCCGTGGCCAAGCAGGGTCTTTCCCGGGGGTGCCACCGTCTCTCCCACCCAAGGGGACGGGGGTTGAAACCCTCTTCCCCGATTTTTCGGGGCAGCCGCTTCCCATCTTCTCTCGCCCGGTGCTGCCTCGCCAAACACGCCCATCCTTTCCCACGCGCGACGGATGGGGAGCCCCGCTTTCCTCCGCCACCTGGGAATGCCCCCCCCACCCCCCGCTGAAAGGCATCGCGGACCGGCGGGAGGACAGGGGCGGGCAAGCAGCCCGGGTAAAGGCTGAGTGGGTACTTTGGGCGCTCACGCACGCACACACACACACACAGACACACACTCGGCTGCGTCCGGCGCTCTTTTGCAAACAGCCCGGAGGGGACCTCGCTTCGGGGGCCGGAGCGGGAGAGCCGTCGGAGGAACCTCCTGGCCCGACGCTCCCGGGGACGGAGAAGGGGGTGCCTTTCCCCGGCGGGGTCCCCAGAAAAGGGCGACGCGCCCCTTCTTCCCCCCTCCTCCCTACCGTCAATGTCGCTCAGGAGGGCCGTGTCTATCTCGGCGGTTTCCTGGAGACTCAGCGAGAGATCCAAGCCGTCCAGCGAGGGCTCTTCGAAGGGATCCATCGCGGCCGGAGCTGTCCCCGGCGCCCCTCGCCCCCTGCTGAAGGAGAGGTCGGGGGAGGGAAGGCGAGGGCCGGTCGGAGGAGCCCGGGTCGCCCTTCGGGGCTGTCTCCCGTCCTCGGTCTCAGGGGGAAAGCCGCCCAGGCAAGCCCATCCACTTCCCACGGGGGTCTGGCGTGGGGTCCCCCGGCTGGCTGCGCGAGGCTCTTTGCCGCGGCTGGCAGGAGACGCGGTCAGTTGTGAACCGTAGCTCAGACCTGTGACCAGGGGAGGGGAGGAGCCTGGACTGGGGCTCCGCCCCTCCGCTTCTTTCAATTGGCAGAGGGGTATTGGTGGGGGGGGGGGGGGGGGGGGGAGGACGTGAGCCGCGGGGCTTTCCCAGACTTCAGGCGTCTTTGCGAAGCGGGCAAGGCGGCGCATCTTTTGCGCTTCGAATCTGGCCCGGCTGGGTGGCTGGGGGGGGGGAGGGGGGGGGGGGCGGGGGGGGGGATTGTGCCCCAGTTAGATTTGGCAGTAGAAGAGATGATTTCCGTGCAGGAAGAACTGCACCTGTTGGATTCCTGCCACGCACCTGGAAGAGGCACAACTGGGAACGGCTGGGAGGAATATGGAGAATAGGCTGACTCAAGAAAAAAAACGGGGGGGGGGCAGGAGGAGGGGGGCATGCCCCCCTTCAGCACCGGGTTTCTCAACCTTGGGCACGGTTAAGGGAGGGGGCGACTTCAACTCCCAGGCAGCGCATGCTGGCTGGGGCATTCTGGGAGCCGAAATCCCTCCTCTCCAAGCAGCCACGATTGAGAAAGAGGGCCTTGGCACATGACTTCTGCAAACGGCATCAACTGTCTTCTTTACCTGGGAACTGAGTGTGGGAAGCCAGTTGGTGCAATTCTGCACACTTAGGGAATCTAACCGGAGCCCCACCCTTTTAAAAAACAAACAAACAAACCTCTTGTCCCGGTTAGTTCAGAGAACCAGTTCAAGATTGGGTTAAGATTTGCGATAGTGGAGAATATCTGTAGCCCGGGTGTAGGATGAGGGTGTGGAGGTCCGTTTTCCGAGCTTGTGGGTTGGTTCCCGATCATTTTGTTACCTTGACAAAACCTACTGACCACTCAAAGCCCCCATAAGCAGAAGGACACCCACAATGACATCCCCTAAATGTTGCTGAAGATGCCCATTGGCCTGGAAACAAAACCTTCAGAAACCAACCCACAAGCTCAGAGAACGAACCTCCACCCTTCTAGGGTTAAGAACTACCACAAACATGAAGTTATGCCACAGACATTGCAACACCAGAATGCAAAATAACACCGTTGGAAGGGTCCTTGGAGGTCTTCTAGTCGAACCCCCCTGCCCAAGCAGGAAACCCTATAGCATTCCGGATAAAAGACCGCCCAGTTTCTTCTGAAAAACCTCGAGTGATAGAGAAGCCACAACTTCTGGAGGCGAGCTGTTCCACGGGTCAATTGTTCTCACCGACAGAAAGTTTCTCCTTGGTTCTGGGTTGGCTCTCTCTTTGATAAGTTTCTATTCTTTGGGAAATGGGGTGAGCTAACAAGAAATTGTGTAATAGATTCCTTCACGTGATTTCTTTGCTGCAAATATCCTCAACGGATCGGAAGAGATTTTCCAGAAAGCGGATTATAGCTTTTATACCAGTTTAGGAAGTGAGGAAGGGACTCGTTAACATCTATGAATGGAAGTTTTGGCTATCAGACTGAGAGGGAGAGCCACAATATTGCAGTAAAAATGATGGGGAGCAGGAAGAGAAAAGTGGGGACAGGTGACACAGAACCCCAATGCAAGGATTCAAGGGAAGGCAGCCACGGAATCTGTAAACAAGACCAGCTCTGCCTCGGGTCATTCCAAGAAAGGCACCCTAAAATCAAAGGAGGCTTGAACATTTCATCTCAAGGCAGCTCAATAAAGTTACAAAAATGCATCACACACTGCTAGCAAAGGAAGTTTGGGAAAATGGTTCTCTTGCAAAAACAGAATAAACTGAATATTAAACCTGTGGAACTCACTGCCACCAGATGTGTTGACTGCCTTGATAGCTCTAAGATTCGTTTTTCTCACCATGTACCGGTACATGTATACATCTGAACTGGACTGTTGTTTGTGTCGTATATGTGTGTGTGTGGGTATATGCATTATTTTTTGATGTGTTTATTTAGTCATGTTTATGTAGTGTATATTGGAGGTGGTGCCCCTTTGAGAGCTTATGCAACAAAACATCACTTTAATGTGCGCCGATTAGTGTACATTTAAAGTGACAATAAAGGTATAAGTTCTTGTCTTTATGGAATCTAAAGTTGACTTTTGAGGGAGCAACGTAGGAAGTGTATTCATGCCTCTGAATTTTGGAAAAGATTTTTGAGAAGGTCACGGGCAGCTGAGGAAACAACCCATGGGCCATCTAATTAATCAACTCACTTGGAGGAATAAAATGACCACAAATGATCCTACTCTGGACATAGGGAGTGAAGAGTTCTCTGGAGAAGGCTCTGACGGTGGAAGGTGGAAGGAAAGAGTAGAAGACAATCCACAGTCAGGCGGATAGTTGCACGATCCACTATTGGAAGACCTGAAGGGTTACGGTTGGGGGAAGATCCTCCTGGGAAAAACTCTTGTGTTGTTGCTAAGAATCAACAATAACTCAAGGTCATGTTGTCATTCATCAACGGAAGTCTTGTCTCTCTCTGGAGAAGTGGGTGGTGGAAAAGGTGGAAGGAAGAGGTCAACCAGTAGCCAGGTAAAAGATCTCAGTTACAATGGAGGCATTGTTGGAGACCTGAAGGACCAGTTTAGGGGCAGATGTTCCTGGAGAACATCTCTCTCTCTCTCTCTCTCAGCTAGGAATCGAAAACAACTTATTGGCACGTAATCAGTCAATCAATCAAATGGAGCAGCCGGTAATTGCTTCTTGATGACTTTGGAATCTAGTTTAGGACCGATCACCCTGGAGAAGGTCTATCTGCGCTGCTGCTAAGAGCGGATCGTGATTGATGGGCATATTTAAGCAAAGATGCGGTTTTCCAATTTGGGGGCTTAGGTTTGCAGATTGCCCAGAGCTATCCAGTGCTAGAAGTGCCCAGTTTTCGGATATAAACGAAGAAACTGTTGAGTCCGGCATATCAGGAATTAAATGCTATGCACTTCCTGTGATGAGATGGGCGGCAAATAAATTTAATAAATAAATAATAAACACACCAATCAATAATAGTTCCATTTCACCATCCATTGCTAGGCTTTCATAATCGTCTCCATGAATTTGTCCTCAATTTGGGAGGGAAAACCCCCAGGTAACTTTATTGGACCACCTTGCAGGGTGGTTGTTCCCTCCCTGGCTCGGCTCAGACGGGAAACCTACAGCTCCTGTCAAGAGAGGAAAGAGTTAATTCTCGCCCACCCGCGCCTGGGCGGGGCCCTGATCCAAGCAGCCAATCGGCGGGAACCAAAACAGAGCTGCCCCCGCGGGGAAGCTTGGTTGAGCTGCGGGGAAACACCCTCGTAGTACCAGCCGGCTCAGCCAATCAGCGCGCGGCTCCGCAGTGGAGTGATTTCGCGTCACGGCTCAGGCTCGAGGATTACATCATGGGGGGCGGGGATCCCCCCCTCCTCCACGTGGAGAACTCTGGGACCTGCTCACCGATGGTGACGTATCCTTGGAGGGCGGGGCCAATATTTAAACGGGCCGCGCGTATTTCATTCTAATTTTTTTTGGCCCACAGGGAGGAAACTGGGAAGCGGGTTATCCGCTTAGCAGGAACAGAATCGGATTCAAGTTTCGGGACCCCCCCATTTCTCGAGGTGGTGAGGGGACGGGAGCACCTGTGCAAAGTTTGCAACATAGCCTCTGAGCATGGGCAAAAGGTTCCTCTGTCCTGAGCCTTACAAGGTAATAGGTCTAAGAATAAACATGAGTAAGAATACAGGAAATAGGTAGGAATTAATGGGGCCAATAGGACAAGGACGGTAGGCACGATGGTGCACTTATGCAGGCCCCTTACAGACCTCTCAGGAATGGGGTGAGGTCAATAATGGATAGTTTGAGGTTAAAGGAGTGGGGGTTAGAGGATGTGACTACAGAGTCAGGTAGCGCATTCCAGGTGTTGACACTCTGTGGCTGAAGTCTTCCTGCAATCGAGTTTGGAGCAGTTTACATTGAGTTTGTATCTGTTGGATAAGTCGGACTACGACTCCCATTTTCCCCAAACCCTGCAGCAGCCAGGAGAGATAACTGGCTGGACTGGGAGGGTGAAGAACCCACGTTTGCAAGCAGAGCATCTGCCCAAATGCAGGATTTGCAAGGGTCATCCTGGGGTTGGATTTGCAAGGTAACTCTGGGGTTGCAAGACCCCAGAGTTAGCCGACCTGCGCCCACCGAGACCTGCACTGCTCCAGCGAGGCTGAACTGCAAAAGAACCGAACTGACTGGGCATAATTGGAAATCATCTTCTTCCTAGTGTACTCCTGCAGATGCAGGGCCCGCTTTTCGGGTCATGGAACACCACTTTGCACGGTCAGCTGCGTCTCCGGGGCTCAGGCCTTCAGCTTGCATATCTTTGTTGATGGTATCTTGCCATCTCGGTTTGGGGCGCCAGTGAGGTCGCCAGCCATTGGTAGGCAGTTTTGGCCACAGTGGAAGGTGTTGCTCACTGGACGGTGTCCATACCAGCGAAGCTGGCCTTCTCTCATCTTCTCTGCAACTGGTGCCACACCAAAATGCTGTCGAATGGTCTCATTCATGATGCGGTCAAGAAGGGAGGTGCCCGATGTCCAACGGAGCCTTCACATTTCCATGGCATGGGAATTGTTTCACTGGGAAATAATTGTAAATGCGCTACTAAAAAGCTACCAAAGTCCTTGCAGAGTTCAACCCTACCAACACCGGAGAGGTTTGGGGGGAGGGTTTTCTTTTGCTTTTTAAAGGGAAGGGTCTTCCTGATCTTTTCCTTCGAGCCAGCCCTGTCTCTTGATTCTCCCGCTCATTTCCCAGAAGTTCAACCGGTGCACCTTTCTGCAGCACAGAAACCCAGGGCTGTAAGAATGGGAGGGAAAGCTCTCCAGGACATCTCGGCTTTGCATGCTGGGCTAAAAACGTGCTGGGAGGTGGGGCGAAAGTGCAACCCGACCTAGGAGTGGTGATCGTAATAACACCCCATCCCCGTTTATCCCTGCCTGCGTCCCTTTATTGCCTCTGGCAGGGCGAGAAAGATCTGCTGGGCTTTGAGAATCGGTCACGCTC